CTGACAAAAATAAATATAGAAATTCCATGAAGATAGTTTTGTATTTCATGAGATTTGATAAATTTATTTGTAATAATGTTTTTAAATATATTAAAAAATACAATTTAGTAATTTGTAATTTGTTACAGTAATTTATGTATAAAGAAATGAAATGAAATTTCATTTTAAATCTTACAAACTAAACACAGTGAAAATTCCAAATCCTCTTGATTTCAGATCTTTACAAGAATTCAAATGTCTCAAAAACATTCTGTTAATATTACATCTAGGGGTGCTCATGGGTTGGGTTGAAGACATAATGCTTGCAATTTGAAAAATCTTAACTCAATTTAAACCGTACGAGTTGGTCGGGTTGATACTTTGGTACATTAAGATAGTCTTTTAACCTTGAATATGTTATTTCTCTACTCATAATTTCTTTTTCATCATCAACAATTTGATACAACTTATCCATACTTATTACGTATATCACATTCAGTTAGTTTTCTCAATCCACATATATATGTTCACAATTACTGGACATATATACGAATGAGTTATATAGAGATGTGAATAAATTGAAAATATGTGTATATGAAGAGAGTACGCGATAGTGTATTTGTCTAATGTATATATTATTATAAATTCAACAATCATATTAAATCCAATAAATAAAATGATATCGGGTTCATCTGGTTAGGTTGAGTTCAAACAATAGTAACACAATATTAACTCAATACCTACGGTTTGAAAATTTTACAACTCGATTAGACATCGAGCTGCTTCGGATTGAGTTATTTCGTGTTGGATTGGCCGGGTTTTTAAGCACCCCTAATTACATCCTCGTTCGATTCTAATATGAGATATATACAATTTAAATACGAATTTATGGGCGATGTAAAGAGAGAATGTTTTTTTTTACGATTTTTAAATCATCATGAATACAAATAAATAATGAAAATGATTAATAGTGACACATTAAAGCATAATAAAAAGTATGTGTTGATAGAGTTTGACTTTGACCAAAAAAGTGATCACTTGTGTAATAATTGAACCATTTTTTTCAATAGAACAATGAGTAGTGGTTCTTGATTTTGTTTTTTGTTTACAAAAAGATGCATTAAAGTCAAATAAATCACCTTCCACTTTCCCCTTTTTTCTTCTTTATTGTCAATGAAACATCTCAAAGTTCATTATTTTCAAAATTAAATCCAATTCCAATTTTAACATGATGTATGTATGCACAATACCGAAAACGAAGTTGTTTTAGCGTTTTTGTAAAGAATGCAACTTTACGACGATGGTGACATAGGGTTTGATTGCATGTGACAATGACGAAACTGGTATTGTGTCGACTTTTCAGTAAAAATTGTATCTTTACTATGATTGTGACATGGGTTCTGGTTGCACGTATTCTTGCATGGTTACACCATGGCCGCAAGCAACATGTATAGGGTATCCATAAAATAGATAGAATGTTTAAAAGAATATTTGAGTTGTTTTATGGGCAATTTATAAAAAAAAAAACTTATTATCCGATGATATGTCGTTACAATGTGGTATATGATAGTATTTTTTTTTGTATAACTGATTTATCAATTTGTTGATTATCGTGTCATGTGATTTAGATAGTAAGTTTAATGGTAGTGGGATTCATATTAATCTCTTATCTTTTACGTCAATGTTAGAGTATAAAATTCATTCAGATTTTAGACCGTAGATATTGTGTCTTGTAAATCTTTGTAAATCCTTTTAAATCCCTTAATTGTAGGTTATGATCAATTGTAATATTTTGTTGTAATTTGATGTATTCTAGCTATATATACAAAGCAGTATACAAAGATTGCTTAAGGGAGTCATACCCTAAAAGTCAGTCAAAAAAGATTTTCTTTTAATACTTGTATAAATAGGGTGCTACAAAATAAGTTATACAAGAAAGAAATAAACAATTTATTTATGTTAGACATCTTAAATAAATCAACAATTGGAAGAATCAAAGTTAGAAAGTTCTCAATACATTTTTTATGATCAAACAGATAATGAACCAACACATTCGGCAGAAGAGTACTCAAAAGTTGAATTTTGTATCGTTTGTTGTATTCGAACGTGGAACAAGAGTAGACTATTGTTGTTGTTGGAGAAGGGATGTAGGATTAAACCTTCTGGTGAAATCGTAGGGCTACATAGAATGATAAAAATTTTAGTGTAAGAGTTATAAAAGGTATAGGGTTAGTTTCAAAAAGACAATATAGCCTTATGCCAATGTAGATCTTTGATAGAAAGATGGTTTCAGAGAAAACAAATTGAGAAATGTGATATTTGAAATCGTGAGTTATTGTTGTAGGAATGAAGAAAGTGCAAGACTACACCGATGATCCAAACGTAGTTCTATGCTGTTTGAGAAGATGAGACAAACACATGAATTTTTTACAATAATGTGTAATTTAGTAGTATACATTTGGAATAAAACTAATATAAAAGAAATTGTATCCATCATATTAATTCTAAAAGTCGAAATAACCCAACACTGATATTAGAACAATAACTATAATTTTCTTGCCGTATGACTACAGTCAAAAGATAATGTAGTCGAATACAACCGACCATCATGATACTACTGTCGTTGTTAATACAATGATCTTCATCCGACCTTGCCCAACTCACACAAGCCCCCATCCCAGCACTAATACCACCATGTCACTACTACCATTATCATAGCTTCAACCACCACACCCATCACATCCCATCCCCGTATGTCCACACCCCAATGACCATCATGCCACTTCTACCACCACAACTACCACCCCACCTACCCCTGCCCCATACCCACCATGCATCGGCCCCAGGGGGTTGGTATGTGACAATGACAATAGTGGCATGGTAGCCGATGGGGTGGGTTGGTGCCCCCACCCACCCTCACCCCTAGATCCCTGCCACAACCGACATTTGCTGCCTTATCACCTACGTGGGTGGGTGATGGTGGGCCCCCACACCCACCCTGCCTCCACCATCCATGGGTTTTTTGGTTTTGAGGGTGGTTGGGGGTAGTTGCTATGATTAGGACAATAGTGGGATAGGGTAAGTGGCCTGAGGCAAGATGATAGTCGTGACTACGATAATAGTAGCATGGTGGTTGGTGGGGTTAGGGGTGGGTAGGTGTATGACAAGTAGCGGAATCCTGAACTAAGGCTTGGCAAAAAAAAAAAAAAAAAACTTGGAAATCTTAATGCCATAATGCCTTTCACATTCTCCTAGCCATTATCCTACTGCAATATCTATGATCCTACTATTACCATAAAGGAAAGATAAGAAATATAAAATGTCTATGAGCCCTATGACCTTTCACTCCCGGAATGTGCTATTACCATAAAGGAAATATAAGAAATATAGAATGTCTATGAGCCCTATGACCTTTCACTCCCGGAATGTGCTTTTGGTTGTTGTAATGGCGACATTAATAGGATGGTGATCGATGGAGTAGGGGTGACAGCTATGACGAGGACAATAGTGGCATGGTGATTTGTGGTGGTTAGGGGTGGGGGTTGGGTAGGGTGAGGTAACAGTTGTGACGATGACAGTAGTGGTGTGGTGGTGAGAGGTTAGGGGTTTGTGATAGTGAAAGTAGTAACATGATCGTGGTTGGGGCAGGGGAGTGGACGATGTTGGTTGAATTGGATGCAAAGACATGGAATTTTCCCCACTTATGACAAGGAACGATAAAATCTTTAATTTGTGGAATTCAAAGGATTCCTACATTTTCATTATGTGAACCAAACAAATGATTTAGAATTTGGTCAAAGGAATTATCCATTCAATGTAACACTCCATTTCACATTTGCATATAATCCACGTATTTCATATAACATGAAATTCAAATAACTACACACTGGTCCCAAATGTACAACTTGCTATATTACAAAAGTAGCTACTAATTTTTTCCATATACACCCACTACAAGACTTGTAAACATAACAAGTTCTCAAGTACAAGTAATAACATATTCCAAAAATCCACACATGTAATGCAATCATGATCCCTTTACATTTTTCCATTTCCCTTATCCTTCGATTGTGCCCTACCTGTAATGCATATTTTAAAACACAAAATGATGGTTAGACCATGAGGTCTAGTGAGAAATCTCCTTTGATTGCTATTACACGGTGAAATCACCAAAACACTTTTAGAAAACTCATTTGTATAAATAACAAATAAACAACGTTTTATCAAAACAAACCTTTTTCTCACATCATATAGATGAGACAACTTCATGAAGTCTCAAAATTATCGCATTCAATAATAAATAATCAAGTTGTCGCATCCCACATATATTACACCAATTTATCGTACCACATTGATGCGATAACAAATTTTGTCGCATCACACTTATGCGATAACCCCCTTGTCGCACCAAGGGACGGACACAATTTTTTTTTCAAACGTTAGCACCATATAATTAATATAATATAATATACATCTAAAAATAATTACAAAAAATATGGTTTTTATAGGACCGATAAACAACTCCTAAACTTGTACCCGACACGTCTTCATCTTTTGAAAACGGTCAATATATACCCAAAAATAATTACAAAAAGTATGGTTTTTATAAAACTGAGAAACAACTCCTTAATTTGTCCTCGGCGTGTCTTCATCTTTTGGAAATGTTCGATGACATCTTCATTTTTAACATTACTATGTGCTTCCTTTTCTATGGTACAAATGAGGACATAATTCAACAAGTCATCACCGATTCGATTACGTAAATCTGTCTTGACAAGCTTCATCGCCGAAAAGCATCTTTCAACCGTGGCAGTTGCAACAGGCAAAACCAGTGTTAGCTTCAATAACCGGTAGATTAAAGGATGAGAAAGATGCTTTCTTGTTGCCATCATCAATCTGGCGAGGTCAACAATACCGTTTAAGTTGGCAAATCTGACATCATTATAAACAGAATGATAGTAGATATCAAGTTCGTGCTCAAGAATGATCCTTTCCTTGTCTTCAAAATTTATTGGATACATCTAACTCAACTTCAATAGGCTTGACTTGTTAAACTGAGAAAACGAATTATGTGGATTCAAAGCTGCCATGTTTTGAAGCAAGTCGGTGTTTATCTCACCAAAACGATCACCAAACTCTCGGATCTGCATATCCAAAATAGTGTTGAATATATCATAGTTATAGTAATGTTGAGTGTTAATGTTCATCCTTTTCCTTGGATTTCTTGTATTAACATAAGCTTCAGCTATATCCAACTTGACAATCTTATGTTTATCATAAAAAGAGTAGCATTTCTCCACAACTTGATCAAACCCATTTTCTCTAACATTTGTAACAGCTTCCAAGATGTCTTCGTCTTTCCTTTGAAGAGCTTGAGATAATGAATTTGTTAACCCTAAGATCATTGTTATCAAGTGCATAAAAACACAAATCCAAATGTCTTTAAGTATGATAAAAGACCTCTTGCTTGAAGCCAACTATCTCTATTATCACCATCATCTTCGACATACTCAAGCACCTTTATATCCTCTGGAAATAAAGCAATCAAACTCACGATTGTTTTAAGATGAGAATTTTATTGTGTATCTCCAACTCGTACAAGGGAAATCTCTTGGTTTAACCCCTTACCAGTATCAATTTCGTTATTTCCAATTTCTTCTTGAATTCTCTCTTTGTGACTTTCTCGTAGCATATCTTTTCGTTTGCAAGAAGAGTTTACAACAGTAACAACCAAGGCAAGCAAATCAAAGAAGTCCTTAATATCGTCGTATTTTTTTGCAACCGCCACAAGTACTAACTGAAGTTGATGGGCAAAAAAATGTATATAAAATGACGAGTTATTATCACTCAAGATCAAAGCTTTCAACCCATTAAACTTACCACTCATATTGCTAGTGCCTTCATATCCTTGTCCTCTTACCTATTTTAAAGATAAATTAAGCCATTTAGCCAAAGATTCAATGATATAATTAAGACTTAAAGCAAATAAATTATTAAGAAACCTTTTTACCTTTGTGAAAATCCATGTTTTGCAAATAAAGCATCCAAGGCAGATTTAAGACTTAAAGCAGATGTATCCATGGTATGAACAACCCCGACAAATCTTTCTTGAACAACTCCGACTTTGTCAACAAACCTCAAAACCATGGCCATTTGTTCTTTTCTAGAGACATCACAAGACTCATCCACCAACAAAGCAAATACATCATCACCAATTTCCCCAATAATGGATTTCAACACCTCTTCTGCAAAGCAAGTAACAAGATCTTTTTGAATTTCTAGAGATGTCAATTGATTGTTCTTCGGGGCATTTTTGTAATATAGCCTTTTCAATATCACCATTTGTTCTTTCGATTAACTTTAAAGTCCCCAAGAAAATCCCTTTATACATAGACTTTTCTGACTCATCGTTGCCACGAAATGGTAAAGCATTCTCCAACAAGTATCTACAAACTTCAACGTAAGCATTCAATCACATGTGGTACTCGGTCTTCTTGAGTTTTGTTTGCTTATGAAGGGCAACAACAATTGATTGGTTTTGGTTAACCAAATCTTCACATTTTAAACTGCTTTATGGTGAAAACTATTAACCTCACCCTCATGAAGCGTAAGTCTGTCTTTTTTACTCCAACTATTGAATCCCTCCGTCACAAATGCATCCTTCCCATGATTCCCGCCTTGGTATCTGAACAAGTAACAAGGCAAACAAATGCTCTATCTACTTTTACACATTATTCCAGCCACTGAAATTGATCAAACCAAGTAACAACAAACCGTTTTGCTTTAGACCCTATAGCTTGGTTGGAAAGATGTGATCTCGTGGTTGATAAGGACCCCTTACCAAGTATTTCTGTCTAATTTCATCTCTTTGATTTGGGTTATAAGTTATAATTTTGGGCCTCTCTGATGGATCCCAAGGAAGATCGTTAACATCAAATCACATTGTTAGATGCATCATTATTATCGGTTGATGAAGCTTTTCGTTTCAAATATTTTTCCATAATGAATGAGTAATGTAAATCTAAGTAATGAAGCAATGATCAAGTAATCAGTAATCAGTAATGTAAATCTAATCAACATTTGAAGGCTGAACATCATCAACTAAACTAAGTAATCAACTAATGAAGTAAATCAATGATCATTGATCAAACTGAAGTACTGAATATTGTCTACTGAAGTGAACAAACCATCATTGATCATTCTAACATTCTGTGTATTTTTCCATTTTGTCAAAAACAATCATGAATTGATCATTGATGTTAAGTAAAAACAGTTAACAATCAGCTTCAAAGTTCAAGCCTTCAACAAAGTAGTGAAAGTACTAAACTAAGTAATAAAAATGAAGCACTTCAACAGTTCAACTAAAGCCTTCAACAATTCAACAGTTCAATTTTATTCAAGCAGTCAAGCAAAGCGATGATCATCATCAAATTTAAGAGTTAACTTAAGAGTAATCAATTAAAACTACTTAACTGCAACTAATTACTAATGAACTAGAATAATGTAAAATTTTATTGATGATCAACAGATAAGTAATCTAAGATTAAGAGTAAAAATGGATACCTAAAATGGGTAAATCTGAAAATAGAGATCAAAGTCACCAAATAGCCATGTAGAAAGTAAGAATCATTCGAGAATCGTTCGAGTCTTCAAGAATCGTTGAATCGTTCCAATCGCCACTCGATGTCTCGTTATCGCTCAATCGCTGTTGCTACTGGTCTGGACGCATAAAATAAATGGACCTAGGTTGGACTTGGACATGTTTGTTCTTGACTTCACCTTGGCCAACTGCTATGGTTTAAGCCTTAAGGGCTGTTGGGCTAAGCTTAAGTAAGATCTTTGTCATTTGTTTGATTAATTGATTTATTTTGGTCTTTGTTTAATTTAGAACGATTTTTGATTTGGTTTGGGCTTTGTATTTTAGGATTTTGATTTGGCTTTTTGGGCTTTGTTTTATTTGAGTTTTAGTTGCACGATTTGGATTTCAGGAAAATATGGTAGCACCTTCTAAACCGATATGGTTGCACCATTCACAAACCTAAACTTTTTACCCTTCGGCGGAGAAATAATACGGTGGCACGTGCCACCCATACCACTTACCTAGGTCCGTCCGTGGTCGCACCTCAAGGATGCGATAACATTTCCTCGCATCTCGTTGATGCGATAGCCTAAACTTGTTGCATCACAAGGATGTGATAACCACCACTTGTCACATCTCATTGATGCGATAAACACACTTGTCGCACCAAACATATGTGATAATTACAACTCATCGTATCAACAATATGCGATAACTTCTTTTGTTGCATTACAAAGATACGATATCCCCAACTCATCGCATCCAACTGATGCGATAAAAATCGCACTCATCACATCATATAGATGCGATAACAGAATCTCATGATCAAAAGATCATCATTTCCAGAATTTGATTATGCCACCCTTATCCAGTATATCCAGCTCCTGATTATACCACCCTTATTACAAGGATATACCTAGTTCCTGATTATGCGACTCTTATTACAAAGATACACCCATCTCCTGATTATGCCACCCTTATTACCAAAAATACCCATCTCCTGATTATGCCACNACCCATCTCCTGATTATGCCACCCTTATTACCAAAAATACCCATCTCCTGATTATGCCACTTATTACTATCAGATTATAAAATCATAACCCAAAATTTATGCTAAATAATAGCATATAATCATCGCATACTCACGTATGAAACCTTACGGTTTCTTCACCCAAAAACACATTAAACGATGTTTCTCAAAGTAAAACTCACCTTGAAATTTCACGTAGATGAAGACTTCAATTCAGTAACAAACAGTTAAGAAAACTTAACCAGTTCTTCTTCTTCCTTCTCTTTCGGTTTCTGCTTGTTCGAACCCAAAGAACACACACAAAAAACTCTCTACTTTACTTTTTATCTCCTTTTGTTTTTCAAAACAAGAAATAACATATAGGACACACAAACCCACATAAACTCTTTTTAAAGAGTGAGGCGGTGAAGTAAAGATATTCTTTAAAACAAGTTCCAAAACACACCCCTTAACTTTCATCACTTAATCAAAAACAACCCCAAACTTTAATAACCTTTAACACTCGGTTATCACAATATATCCTCCCCTCAAAAGAATTCCATCCCAGAATTCAATCAATCAAACAACTAGGGATGTTTCGCTCTTATTTCGGACTCCAGCTCCCAGGTAGCCTCCTTCCCTTTATGAAATCGCCACTATACTTTCACCAGACTAATTTATTTATTTCTCAACACCTTAGTCTCCCGGTTAGTGACAGCCTCTAGAGTTTCCACAAAGTTCAACGTATCATCAATCTGAATCTCAAGTAATGATACGGTCATATTTGGATCAACAAAACACTTTCGCAAATTAGAGACATAGAAAGTGTTTTGAATAGCGTTGAGTTCTTCTAACAAATCTAACTGATATGCTACTGTGCCAACCCGTTTACTGATTATGGACGACTTAATATACTTTAGACTTAGTTTATCTCTCTTCCCAAAATGCACAATACCCTTCACAGATAAACTTTCAACATCACAAAATCTTCTACCAGAAATTCAACCGGCTTTCAGCGCTCGTCAAGATAGCTCTTTTGTTGGTCATGAGCTATCTTTATTCTTTCTCAGATTTGATCTATCTTTTCGGTCATTATCTAAACAATCTCCAGACCAGCCAACTGTTTCTCCCCCACCTCATTCCAACACAATGATGTTCAACACTTTTTGCCATAAAGAACTTCATATGATGCCACTTGGATGCTAGAATGATAACTATTGATGTAGGGAAATTCAATCAAAGACAAAATGATTCTCCCATGATCCCCCAAAGTTAATGATACAAGATCTTAAAATATCTTCGAGGGTCCGAATCGTTCTTTCACTTTGCTCGTCAGTTTGTAGGTGATACACTATACTTAACCGAATCTAAGATCCGATGGATTTCTAAAAGCTTTCCCACCAGTTGTCCCTGTCTGAAATGATTGACAAAGGAACACCGTGACGAGTCACAATTTCATCGATGTAGATCTTTCCAAGTCCTTTTAATGGATAATTCTCTTTGATCGGTAAAAAGTACGCATATTTTGTCACCTGATCCATAATAACCCAAATGTCATCATATCCTTTTGGAGTTCCTGGCGGTTTCATTATGAAATCCATCGTGATATGATTCCATTTCTACATAGGAATTTCTAAGGATTGCAAATTCTTATAGGGTCATTGATAAGTGTGCAAAAGAATACACTTTAGCACCTAATTATAACTTTATTTCACTTCATCCTACACCTTTCCTAATCATATATTGAGTCTTTTAGTCTTATTTTATGGTTTCACATTCTTTGGAGCTAAGATGCGGGAATGGTATTGTTTTATGAATTTGGTGAATGAAATGCTGACATAAGCATTACTGTAGCCAGTGTGTACGTTGCTAAAGCACTAGACACTGAATATTGGCATAGCTGGCTCAATCTCATTGAATATTTTGAAAAGTCAAGTTTTGGAGGAAGACATCTTCTTGTACCGATAACAGATGATTTTGATAGAAGTTGCCACTGAAAGATAACTTAACCTTTTATACTTAAGCCTGTTTTGTACTAGAGCATCTTTTGTATTACCCATTCCTTAATAACCAATGGTTATTAATCTCTAGTACTTTTGATTCCCCTTTGCTAGTATATATATAGGGGCAATCTTTTGTTTAGTAGTAACATTAGAAACAATATCATTTTGTCATCAATCAATGAAGATTCATCTAAGCTTTGTGTCCTTGTTACTTTTTAATATCATTTTGCAAGTACTTTTAAGTGTTCTTCATCACTGTCAGTTGCTACAACAACCTTTCCAACTTTTTCTTTACTTTTCGTGCAAAATTTACTTTTACGTCATTTACATTCAATCATTTCCATTTATGTTATTTATTTTTAAGCACTTACATTCAGTCATTTTAGGCTAAATACCTTTGTATGGGTGTAAGTGAAGGTTGTGAGATTAAGCCAAGTGTTAGTCGATTATTGTTTTGCTAATAGCAATTTATTTCGCTATTCACAAATAGTATCAATATTTCATCTGGTATTCTTTGACAAATTGACACATGTTATTTTATTCAGATGAGTTGGACATAAAATTAAGACAAATCAAATATTTTTACTAAGTGTGTTATAAAGGCTATAAAGAGTCGCAGTAATCTCATGGGTTGCAAAACTATATGGAAAGGAAGGCAAGATCTGTACTAGTTCGGGATTGATGCATCACCAACTGCACTTCCAACATATGGTCTAATCTGCACTTCCTTGGAAGGCCGTTCAATCCAG